GGTTTCCTGCCTGAGCAGGGGGTTAGACTAGATGACCTCCAAGATCCCGTCCAGCTCTATTCTGTTCTAAGAGACTGGACAGCCATTTGTCTGAAATGGTATTGGGTTTCCTGCCTGAGCAGGGGGTTGGACTAGATGACCTCCAAGATCCAGTCCAGCTCTATTCTGTTCTAAGAGACTGGACAGCCATTTGTCTGAAATGGTATTGGGTTCCCTACCTGAGTAGGGGGTTGGACTAGATGACCTCCAAGATCCCGTCCAGCTCTATTCTATTCTAAGAGACTGGACAGCCATGGGTCTGAAATGGTATTGGGTTTCCTGCCTGAGCAGGGGGTTGGACTAGATGACCTCCAACGTCCCTTCCAACTTTGATGATGATGATGATGATTATAAAAGGGGATCACGTGAGCCCTAGGGACACGGCAACGGTTGTAAATAGGAACTAGTTCCCAAGCGCCTGAATTTTCTTACTAATGTAGAGGTTAAGTGAATCTCTCTTTCCGGACATCACAAAAAGGGGGTCACATGACCCAGGGACACGGCGACCGTCATAAATAGGAACCAGTTGCCCGAGCGCCCAAATTTTGATCCCGTGACTATTGTAAGCCACTTTGTTTTCGGTGGTCGTCGTAACTTTGAACAGTCGCTAAATGGACGGCGGTAAACAGTCCATTAACCAGTAGAACCACCTGCCTCCAGAAGTGGTGAATGCTCCCACACTGGAAGTTTTTAAGAAGAGACCGGACAGCCATTTGTTTGAAATGGTATAGGGCAGTGGTTCTCAATCTTTTTAATGCCGCGACCCCCAACTGGTCGTAAGTCGAGGACTACTCAACCGGTCGTAAGTCGAGGACTACTCAACTGGTGCAGCACCGTTTGCAGAATGGGACTTTTGGCGGGCTCAGCAGGGCAGAGACAGCCTAGACAATTTCTATTGGCTTTTGAAAGCCAATAGAATTAGACTCTATTCAAGAGAGTCTATTCTATTGGCTTTCAAAAGCCAATAGAATAGAAGGGAGTAGCACAGCTAAGGAAAAGGGGAAAAAATGGCGGACTGCATTGTTTGGCGACCCCCATGAAATGGTCATTCGACCCCAAATGGGGTCCCGACCCACAGGTTGAGAACCGCTGGTATAGGGTTTCCTGCCTGAGCAGGGGGTTGGACTAGATGACCTCCAGGGTCCCTTCCAACTGTGCAGAAAAGGGGAGTTTTCTTACCGTGCTGTGCTCACGGCCCCGAGTTAAAATCCTGCCAAGCCACCCGCCATAAGGGGCTCCATCCTCGCACGCTCAATGCAAGCGTGTCGGAGGTTAAACTATTGGTAGGTTTCCCAGTTGAATTTGAACAGTGATGTTTTTTGTCTCTGGGAAGTCTTTGGGAGCTAAAACCAGCGAGTGTCCTTGAAGAGAACAAGGAGAATATTATGCGAAGCATTAGCCACGCACTCTCCTCTCCGGGCTGCTTTTAAAGCCATTTACGATTTCCAGGTTGAAAGGACCCAAAACGGGCGCACATTTTAGAGCATGCGAAGAGTTGCAACGGCGTTTGCGGTTTTGGGGTTTTTTTTTTCTTTTCTTTTCTTTTTAAGCCAGAAATGTTTAAACTTGCTTTTTTTTTTTTAATCTTGCGAACCCGACCACAAACAACGAGGACTAGTAGCCTGCAGGGTGTGTTGAAACCACACTGCTCTGACTTACAGGGTTTGGTATGTTAGGTCCTTGGTGCTCTCTCAGTTGTGTTGCTTTCCTGAAGATGCTTGGCTACTAAACTGGAGAACGTGATTGATGCTAACCCCCCCCTCCCTTCTAGCACTGATGATGTTACCTAGTTGGGTGATGAAATGTCTACAAGAAAACATCCAAGCTGAAAGAGTATAAAAGAACCCACAGTGCTCCTCCTCTCCTCCTCCTCCCCCTCTTCTTTGCAAACCACACTCCCTCTTAGCACTGATAATGTTACCTAGTTGGGTGATGAAACGTCTACAAGAAAACCATCAAGTTCAGAGAGAACTAAAGACCGTACATCCCTCCTTCCTCTCCTCCTCCTCTTCTCTGCAAACCCCACTCCGTCCTATCACTGATAATGTTACCTAGTTGGGTGATGAAACGTCTTCAAGAAAAGAACGAAGCTCAGAGAGAACTAAGGACCTCACATCCTTCCACCACCACCACCACCTCCTCCTCCTCCTCCTATTGTGTCTCTCTTGTTTGTTTTCTGTGCCAAAACAGACAATTATAGAGGTGCAAATGACAAACTCAGTAACTCTTCTGTATCAGCAGCTTCTTGGGCAGTCTGAGCTTTCTGAATTGACTTAATGGAATATAGAATAGAATAGAATAGAATAGAATAGAATAGAATAGAATAGAATAGAATAGAATAGAATAGAATAGAATAGAATAGAAAATATGGAATAGAATAGAATAGAATAGAAGTAGAGTAGAATAGAATAGAATAGAATAGAATAGAATAGAATAGAATAGAATAGAATAGAATAGAATAGAATAGAATAGAATAATGGAATGGAATGAAATAGAAATACAGAATAGAAGAGAATAGAATAGAATAGAATTACAGAATGGAAATACAGAATAGAATAGAATAGAATAGAAAATATGGAATAGAATAGAAGTAGAGTAGAATAGAATAGAATAGGAAATAGAATAGGAAATAGAGAATAGGAAATAGAGAATAGAATAGAATAGAATTACAGGATGGAATAAAATATAGAATAGAATAGAATAAGGATGGGATGGGATGGATGGAATAAGTTAATAGAATAGAATAGAATAGGAAATAGAGAATAGAATAGAATTACAGGGTGGAATAAAATATAGAATAGAATAGAATAAGGGATGGGATGGGATGGATGGAATAAATTAATAGAATAGAATAGAATAGAATAGAATAGGGAATAGAGAATAGAGTAGAGTAGAATAGAATAAGGATGGGATGGGATGGATGGAATAAATTAATAGAATAGAATAGAATAGAATAGAAATCTGAATATCTGAATTACCGCACAATCCTATTACTTGGGGGGGGTCCCCTTCAAAGCTTGCCAAAGAGGTTGAAGTTCCGCAAAGACCCGTGATTTTGGTTTGGTTTTGTTTTTTTAATTTTTCAACCGTCTGACCGGGATGAAACCCACCGTTGAGCGGTGCCCATTTTTTTTCCCATTTCCCCACAAGCTGCTGTGCCTTTTGTCTCCCCAGAGGGTGGGGGCGGGAAAAAACATTTTATTCTGGCAGGAGAGCCGAGAAAGCTGCTCAAGAGCCATTTGGGAATGACAGGAGAGCCAGGGTTCATCATTTATTCATTCTCTTAGCTTCTTTTATTAATGCAACTGAAGGGGTCTCTCCAGTTGGCTGCTACATCACCAGCTAGCCAGCCGCTCCGTGTGGGATCCTGTCAATTGGCTAACCCAGAACCTGAGCAGGAAACGGATTCCTGTTATCAAGGCAGATCAGTTGTTTACATTCCCCCCCCCCGGTGCTTTTGTTTATTTTTTTTTCCTCCCCAGTGTTCGTTTATTTCTCGGAATTACATCCCACCATTATTATTTTACAAATAACTCAAAGCGGTACAAATATCCACTTCCCACCTAATGTTTTTCCCAGAGCAACAGCCCTGTGAGGTGGGCTGGGCTGGGAGGGAGTGACTAGCTGCAGATTACCCAGCTGGCTTTCATAGCTAAGGTGGGACTAGAACTCACCGTCTCATGAGGATTGGCCCAAAGTCACCCAGCCGGCTGTCATACCTAAGGCGGGACTAGAACTCACCGTCTCCTGGGGATTGGCCCGAAGTCACCCAGCTGGCTGTCATACCTAAGGCGGGACTAGAACTCACCTTCTCCTGGGGATTGGCCCAAAGTCACCCAGCCGGCTGTCATTCCTAAGGCGGGACTAGAACTCACTGTCTCCTGAGGATTGGCCCGAAGTCACCCAGCCGGCTGTCATACCTAAGGCGGGACTAGAACTCACCTTCTCCTGGGGATTGGCCCAAAGTCACCCAGCCGGCTGTCATTCCTAAGGCGGGACTAGAACTCACTGTCTCCTGAGGATTGGCCCAAAGTCACCCAGCCGGCTTTCATGCCTAAGGCGGGACTAGAACTCACCGTCTCCTGGCTTCCAACCTGGTGCCTTTACCAGTAGATCACGCTGGCTCTGATGTAACTCTTTACGTAAAGATCCAAGAAAATAATTTCAGAATGAATGAATGTCTTGCTCTTTTCATCCTGCTTATCTGGAGGACAGCCCTCATGTTACCTAATTAGGTCATGAAATGTCTGGAAGAAAACGACCCAGCTCAGAAACCACCAAGGATCCCACAATCCTCCTCCTCCTCCTCCTCCTAGCAGTGATGATGGTACTAGTTGGGTGATGAAACGTCTTCAAGAAAACCGCCAAGCTCAGAGAGCACCAAGGACCCCACAATCCCCCTCCTCCTCCTCCTCCAAACCCCACTCCATTCTAGCACTGATCATGTAACCTAGTTGGGTGACAAAACGTCTGCAAGAAAACAACCTAGCAGAGAGCATCAAGGACTCCACAGTCTTCTTCCTCCTCCTCCTCCTCCTCCTCCTCCTCCTCCTCCTCCTCCTCCTCCTCCTCCTCCCCCTCCGCAAACCCCACCTATTCTAGCACTGATGATGTAACCTAATTGGGTGGTGAAACAACTCTGCTGAGAAACCAGCAAGGACCCCACAGTTCAACCCTAAGCTACAGACAGCCTCTTCTATAAGTCTTAGACTATTTATGCAATCTGGCATTTTAATCTCATCGTGGACTTTCTCATTTCCCACCAGAAAATGCCTGTGGAATATTTCAAAGTAGGATAACTAATCATGGGAGTAATGCCAGGATTCAATTCCGTTTGTAAATAATGCCTCTCTCTCTCTCTCTCTCTCTCTCTCTCTCTCTCTCTCTCTCTCTCTCTCTTCTTTCTTTCTTTCTTTCTTTCTTTCTTTCTTTCTTTCTTTCTTTCTTTCTTTCTTTCTTTCTTTCTTTCTTTCTTTCTTTCAACAGGGGATGCAGAAGTTGGCTGGCCAGTACTTAAAGAAAGAATGGCCTGGCGTGAAAGCAGAGGAGCGGACTGATTTTAGGTAAGACAACCTTACGTCACACCGTTGTTAAGTGAATCTGGCTCCCATATTGACTTTGCTCGTCAGAAGGTCGCAAAGGGAGAACACGTGACCCTGAGACCCAGCAACCGTCATAAATATGAGTCAGTTGCCAAGGGTCTGGATTTTGATCACGTGACCCAGTACCGTTGTAACTTCAAACAGTCATTAAACAAACCGTCGTAAATTGAGGACCACCACTATAAGTAGTATAATACTTTTAGAATATATGAAATGTTAAAACCTTGAGAGGGTCTATTTAAATGAAGAGTTTGGATATTTAAAGGTATTGAACTTTGGGAAAACTATAAGTGAATACTGAGGGGAAACTAAGCTTCCATAAGAATCTTGCATATAATGATTTAATAAAATAGCTTTTCTAAACACAATGGAAACAAGCTGATTAAGAAACAGGTGATACATCGATGTTATTACTACATGCATAAATACTAAAAAAAGGTTTATATTCAACCCGGTATATGCTGAAAATATTAAGAATTATATTTGTTTTAACGTAGACAAAAGGAGAATATTACAGGAGGAAGAGCAGATTGAGAGAAATAGTACCGACATATTGATTAATTGTAGAAATTATTTCCAAATTTTTTTCGTTCTTTTTTACCATAATTAAAAGTATATTTAATCTTTAAATATTCCATTTAACAAATCAAGTCCTCTAGTCTTTTAACTCTTATTCAAAACATTTTTTTAATCCATTGTAATTTTCTTAAAGTCAATCCCCTTTAGAGATCTAAAACATTTCCTTTCTATAAGCCTTTCCAACTCTTTTATATTACTCATATCAAGAAATAAAATAAAAAAGAAGAAGAAAAAGACAGCACTATGTTACTTAAGCGGCTCTTCCCTCTTAAAGTCAAATTGACATCCAAAACTTTTCTATTTCTTTAACCATATTCAAACAGGTATTTCTTTTTTAAATAGTCTCTCTGATAGGCCCCATCGTCTATTTTCTTAATTTTCACTTTAGCCTACTGGTAGAAATTAATTATGGATCGTTTTAAATATATGAACCCAGACAACACACTGTTCACGAAGCACTAAAGATTGTTATTGTAAAAAACTAGAAATATATATTTTAGAGTATTATTATGAAATTATTATTATTTTTAGTATTAGTATTGTTTAACTATTTGGGGACTGTATTGTTTAATAATTAGGATATTAATTTGTTTATGTTCTCATTATTATTATGTTCACTTTTAATTTGCTTATATTGATGTTAAAGGGGAGTTAAAGTGCATTACGGATTTGGTTATTTATATAGTTGGTAATGTTAGTTAGATTATGATTATCATATTTGTAACCCTGTATTCAGCTCTGGGAAGTGGGGGAGGGAGAGGGGGGGTTTGGGGTGGATTAATATTGTAATTTTTATAAAACTTTTTAATAAAAAAAATTAATTTTATATATATATATATATATATATATATATATATATATATATAATATATATATATATATATGTAGGTCTTTGGTTGTTCGGGTTTTCTCCCGCGTAAAATTGGAAGTGTCTTGGCGACACTTCCAATTTTACGCAGGAGAAAACCCGAACAACCAAAGACCTACATACAAACACCCGCGAAAACCTCAGAAAACAAATATATATATATATATATATATATTATATATATATATATATATATATATATATATATATATATATATATATATATATATATATATATATATATATATTATATAACAGATATGGAAGAGAACTATCCAACCTGCGGCCTTTAGCAGATGGCCTTAAACCCATGGAGGAAGATTTTTTTTTTTACACACAGGTGGTCCTCAACTTACAGCCATTCATTTAGTGACCGTTTGAAATTACAGCAGCATTGAAAAAAACAGCTTATGACCATTTTTGCACGCTTAAAGACCAATGTAGTATGAGCAGTGTTTTGGGCTGAGCTGAGCTCTGAAAGAGAGCTAGGTGGTTAAGAAATATCAGTCAATCACAATCCAGATGATAAATGAAAGGAAGCTTTATATTGATGTGGTTATTATTTGCAGAAACATGAGGAAAATGTCTGTATTTAACTGTCATTTATTTAAATAAAAACTGCATTAATTTAAGGTTGGCCAAAGAGAATATTATTGGAAGGAGAAAAAATCAACTAAAGCTATTATATGAACTATAGAAATTAATTGTTATTGATTGTTTTTTCAACATTAACCCAAACAATACGATGTTTACCAAATATTAAGGGGTATGTTAAAAATCAATAAAACATATTTTTTTTAAAAAAAGAAATATCAATCAGTTAATAAATACAAACTGGTCTATCTGTTAAATACTTTTTTTTCATCACTGGAAGTTTTTAGGAAGAGACTTGTCTGAAACGGTATAGGGTTTCCTGCCTGAGCAGGGGGTTGGACTAGATGACCTCCAAGGTCCCTTCCAACTTTATTATTATTATTATTTCTTCTAGAGGTTGGTGGCTTCCCTGCCAATGAAAGCTCACGCTGTTTCATGATCGTGTTTTTCTTCAACTGTATTTTTTTTTCCCCACCTGTTCAGATTACCCAGTTAAAATTCCCCCAGGTTTTAACTTGGCGTTCCGTAGCTTGCAGTCCAGGTGTAACCAAAATAAAAATAAAAATTAAAATGTTTGGGCAAATTCACTTTGTAAATAAATCTGCACCGTGGGATAATGCTGCAGAAGTTGACTGTAAATGGTAAGCAAAGACTTTCGCTGCTGGTGGGATGGAAGGCTTTTAACATTGGAAAAATAAAAATTATATTAGATGGGTTTTGGGATTTGGATGGGTTTCCCCCCTCCCTTTTTTTTTTCTTTCTTTTTTTTTTTGCAGTAAGGCAGTTTTTTTTTTCAGTCTGAAGGTGAAAATATAACCGTGTGAAGGTGAAGATATAGCTGTGTGAAAAAATGACAGTTTGATCATTTTCTCCCCCCTTCCTCCTCTCCCCCTCCTCTTCTTCCTTATCCTTCTTCTCCTCTGCTTTTCCATCACCCTTCCCCTCCTCCTCCTCCCTCTCGCTCTCCTCCTCCTTTTCCACTACCCTTCCTCATCTTCTATCTCCTTCTCCTACTTCTCCCCTCCCCCTCTTTTTCATCCCTTTCCTCCTCCCTCTTGCTCTCCTTCTCCTTTTCACTACCCTTCCTCATCTTCTATCCCCTTCTCTTCCTCTGCCCCTGCTTTTTCATCCCTTTGCTCTGCTTCTCCTTTTCACTACCCTTCCTCATCTTCTACCTCCTTCTCCTACTTCTTTCCTCCCCCTCTTTTTCATCCCTTTCCTCTCCTCCTCCCTCTTGCTCTCCTTCTCCTTTTCACTACCCTTCCTCATCTTCTATCTCCTTCTCCTCCTCTTTCTCTGCCCCTGCTTTTTCATCCCTTTGCTCTCCTTCTCCTTTTCCTTTTTCACTACCCTTCCTCATCTTCTACCTCCTTCTCCTACTTCTTCCCTCCCCCTCTTTTTCATCCCTTTCCTCTCCTCCTCCCTCTTGCTCTCCTTCTCCTTTTCACTACCCTTCCTCATCTTCTATCTCCTTCTCCTCCTCTTTCTCTGCCCCTGCTTTTTCATCCCTTTGCTCTCCTTCTCCTTTTCCTTTTTCACTACCCTTCCTCATCTTCTATCTCCTTCTCCTACTTCTCCCCTCCCCCTCTTTTTCATCCCTTTCCTCCTCCCTCTTGCTCTCCTTCTCCTTTTCACTACCCTTCCTCATCTTCTATCCCCTTCTCTTCCTCTGCCCCTGCTTTTTCATCCCTTTGCTCTGCTTCTCCTTTTCACTACCCTTCCTCATCTTCTACCTCCTTCTCCTACTTCTTCCCTCCCCCTCTTTTTCATCCCTTTCCTCTCCTCCTCCCTCTTGCTCTCCTTTTCCTTTTTCACTACCCTTCCTCATCTTCTACCTCCTTCTCCTACTTCTTTCCTCCCCCTCTTTTTCATCCCTTTCCTCTCCTCCTCCCTCTTGCTCTCCTTCTCCTTTTCACTACCCTTCCTCATCTTCTATCTCCTTCTCCTCCTCTTTCTCTGCCCCTGCTTTTTCATCCCTTTGCTCTCCTTCTCCTTTTCCTTTTTCACTACCCTTCCTCATCTTCTATCTCCTTCTCCTACTTCTCCCCTCCCCCTCTTTTTCATCCCTTTCCTCCTCCCTCTTGCTCTCCTTCTCCTTTTCACTACCCTTCCTCATCTTCTATCCCCTTCTCTTCCTCTGCCCCTGCTTTTTCATCCCTTTGCTCTGCTTCTCCTTTTCACTACCCTTCCTCATCTTCTACCTCCTTCTCCTACTTCTTTCCTCCCCCTCTTTTTCATCCCTTTCCTCTCCTCCTCCCTCTTGCTCTCCTTCTCCTTTTCACTACCCTTCCTCATCTTCTATCTCCTTCTCCTCCTCTTTCTCTGCCCCTGCTTTTTCATCCCTTTGCTCTCCTTCTCCTTTTCCTTTTTCACTACCCTTCCTCATCTTCTATCTCCTTCTCCTACTTCTCCCCTCCCCCTCTTTTTCATCCCTTTCCTCTTCCCTCTTGCTCTCCTTCTCCTTTTCACTACCCTTCCTCATCTTCTATCCCCTTCTCTTCCTCTGCCCCTGCTTTTTCATCCCTTTGCTCTGCTTCTCCTTTTCACTACCCTTCCTCATCTTCTACCTCCTTCTCCTACTTCTTCCCTCCCCCTCTTTTTCATCCCTTTCCTCTCCTCCTCCCTCTTGCTCTCCTTCTCCTTTTCACTACCCTTCCTCATCTTCTATCTCCTTCTCCCTCTTTCTCCTCCTCCTCCTCCCCCCCTTTCCCCTTCCCCTCCTCTTACCTCTCGCTCTCTCCCCTCCCTTCCTCCCTCTTTCCCCCACTGATCTGGTGTTGGACTAGAGGACCTTCCAGCTCCCATCCAACTCTGTTATTCTGTTATTTGTGTCTGCATTGTAGGAGCCTCTATCCTGTCTGGAAATCATTTCTAGAAAGCACTGTGCAAGTGGCCCAGTCCAGGATCAATATCTGTGAGAACTATAAAAACCTCATTTCGGAACCCGCCAGGGCAGTGAAGTGCTTTAAAGAACAACAGCTGAAAAAGGTACCTTCCGAGATTTTTGTTCTTCCATTGTGACTTGAGAGGCTAGGCCAAGGGTAGGCAACCTTGGCTCTTTTATGACTCGCGGACTTCAACTCCCAGAATTCCTCAGCCAGCATGGGGGAACTATGGCCCCTTCATGACTCGTGGACTTCAACTCCCAGAATTCCTCAGCCAGCATGGGGGAACTATGGCTCTTTTATGACACGCGGACTTCAACTCCCAAAATTCCTGAGCCAACATGGGGGAACTATGGCCCCTTCATGATTGGTGGACTTCAACTCCCAGAATTCCTCAGCCAGCATGGGGGAACTATGGCCCCTTCATGACTTGTGGACTTCAATTCCCAGAATTCCTCAGCCAGATGGGGGAACTATGGCCCCTTCATGACTTGGGCACTTCAACTCCCAGAATTCCTGAGCCAACATGGGGGAACTATGGCCCCTTCATGACTTGTGGACTTCAACTCCCAGAATTCCTGAGCCAGCATGGGGGAAACTTTGGCTCCTTCATGACTCGTGGACTTCCTGAGCCAGCCATTTTATTAAGCAGAGAGAGAGGGGGGGAGAGAGAGAGACCACATAACCTTTTGCAATAACCTCTAATAAACAAGACCCCAACCATCCATAATTATATCCCTTGCATAATCTCTATGAACAGATTGTTTTCTGAAAGAATCTCTCCTTCCCCTTCCTTCCTTCCTTCCTTCCTTCCTTCCTTTCTTCCTTCCTTCCTTCCTTATTTCCCTCCTTCCTGAGCAGCCATATGGCATGCATTTTGCTCCAAGAGCTGGCACGCTGTGTGCTGTCGACAGCCAGCAAAAGAACTTTCTTTTTGTAAACGAAACGAAATGCACTCTGTGATGGTTGCAAGAATCCGAAAACTAAGCCGTCTTTCGGAGGCGGCTTTGAAATTTTCCAAAGGATGCCCAGATAGGCTTTGAACCTGAGGTGTGTTTGCCTTCTAAAAACATTCCTGGAACGATCCAAGATTTTAAGGGTGCAACTGAAATGGAGGCGTTTCAGGCAGGTCCTGCAAACGCAGTCCCAGGCAGCAGGCCAGGAACCGACTACAGAAAGATCCTTGTGGCTTCTTGCAGAGGGAAGGCTGAGCAAGGGGGGGGGGGTGTGGAATGCTTTTTATTATTGTTATTGTAGAAATGCTGTAGTGGCCGAAAAGGGTTTTTTTAGAGCAGCGTTCTCAACCGCGGCAGCTTGAGGTCTTCGACTCCCAGAATCCTCCAGCTGGGGAATTCTGGGAGTCGAAGTCTGCCGATCTGAAAAGCTGCTAACATTGAGGAACGCCGGTGTAAAGAGATTTACAAAGGAATTTAAAGACGGCCCCGCTCTTTTCCTGCACCTTCCCTGTCGTTTAGCCACCAAAATTCCCCTTTTGTGGAATTGTGGTGGAATCAACAGCCTGTCAGCAAGTCAGGTAGCATCTCGTCTCTGAAGCCCTGAGGGAAAATACACGCACAAATCTAATTGTCTTTTGCAAATATTTGCATGTAAAACGATAGCACAGTTTACTGTGTTCTTAACTCATAGAGCACAACGTAGTGCTAGGTCAGGGGTAGGCAACCTTGGCTCTTTTATGACTCCTGGACTTCAACTCCCAGAATTCCTGAACTAGCCATGCTGAGGGGAAAGGGAGAGGTTTACAAGCTGAGCCAGGCTGGCTCAGGAATTCTGGGAGTTGAAGTCCCCGAGTCATGAAGGGGCCATAGTTTCTCCATGCTGGTTGAGGAATTCTGGGAGTTGAAGTCCCCAAGTCATGAAGGGGCCATAGTTCCCCCATGCTGGTTGAGGAATTCTGGGAGTTGAAGTCCCCAAGTCATGAAGGGGCCATAGTTCCCCCATGCTGGTGAGGAATTCTGGGAGTTGAAGTCCGCGAGTCATGAAGGGGCCATAGTTCCCCCATGGTGGCTCAGGAATTCTGGGAGTTGAAGTCCCCAAGTCATGAAGGGGCCATAGTTCCCCCATGCTGACTCAGGAATTCTGGGAGTTGAAGTCCACGAATCATGAAGGGGCCATAGTTCCCCCATGGTGGCTCAGGAATTCTGGGAGTTGAAGTCCCCAAGTCATGAAGGGGCCATAGTTCCCCCATGCTTGCTGAGGAATTCTGGGAGTTGAAGTCCATGAGTCATGAAGGGGCCATAGTTTTCCCATTCTGGCTGAGGAATTCTGGGAGTTGAAGTCTACCAGTGATAAAAGAGCCAAGGTTGCCTACCCCTGTGCTAGGAAAAGAAAGCAACACAAATTATTTGTCAGTGTTGGAAACGCCAGTATTTTGGATACAGGCAGTCCTCCACTTACAACAGCATTGAAAAAAGTGACGTAGGACCGTTTGTTTTTTTTTTACACTTAACGACCATTGCAGAATCCCTGTGGTCACACGATCAAAAATCAGGACGCTTGGCAACTGACTCATATTTATGACGGTCTCAGTGTCCCTGGGGGGGGTCACGTGATCCCCTTTTGCGACCTCCTGACAAGCAAAGTCAATGGGGGAAGCCGGATTCGCTTAACAACTGTGTTCCTAAGTACAACGGCACTGAAAAATGTGACTTAACGACCATTTTTCATAGTTACGACCTTTGCAGCATTTCCCCGTGATCACGTGATCCAAATTCAGAAGCTTGCCAACTGGCTTGCACTTAATGACAGTTGCAGGATCTCGGGGTTACGTGATCCCCGTTTGCCACCTTCTGACAAAGCAAAATCAATGAGGAAGCCAGATTCACTTAAAACCGTGTCACTAACTTAATAACTTCCGCGATTCACTGAACAACCGAGGCAAGCCATGTCGTAAAACGGGGCAAAATTCACCTAATAAATGTCTCACTTAACAACAGAAATTTTGGGGTCAACTGTGGTTGTAAGTCGAGGATAACCTGTAGTCCTCGGCTTACAACCATTCATTTAGTGACTGTTCAAAGTTACGACAGAAGTGCAAAAAGTGACGTATCCTAAGTTACAAGAGAAGTGCACCAAGCGACTTAATGACCGTTTTTGCCCATTTATGGCCATCGCGGCATCCCTGGTGATCAAAATTCAGACGCTGGGCAGCTGACTCGTATTTACAACCGCGGTCCTATCTCAAGGTTACGTGACCCCTTTCGCGACTGTCTGACCAGCAAAAGTCAATTCGGAATCCAGATTCACTTAACCACCGGGCGATTAACTTTAACGACCGCAGGGATTCACTTAACAACGGTGGGCGAGAAAGGTCGTAAAATGAGGCCGAACTCACTTAACGACTGTCTGGCTTAGCAACAGAAATGTTGGGCTGAATTGTGGTAAATCGAGGAGTACTTACGTGTGTTCATCCAGCTCTTCGTGGCAGATTCTACTTTTAGGAGGAAAGACCAATTTGTTTTGTGTGTGTGTGTTGTTGTTGTTGTTCAGTGCGTGGACCAGCTGATCAGGATCCAGACCGAACTTCAAGAGACGGTGAAAGATTTAGCCAAGGGGAAGAAAAAATACTTCGAAACGGAGCAGATGGCCCAGGCTGTCCGGGAAAAGGCCGACATTGAAGCCAAGTACGTTCTCGTTGGCGTCCAAAATTCTGCACAGAAATTAACTCCGTGCAACTCTTTGGCGTCCTAATTGGCGGCATAATCCTGCTTGTAGCCAATTGGCCCCGATTACCGAGGAATTTCCTGCCTTTCTCCGTTCAATCTCATTTTTGAAAGGGGAAAAAAAATAATAAAAATAACACACCCCTTTCTAAATACAAGGTCTGCTACACGGATTCTCTGTCCCGTTCACCAGAAATAATCTTTTTTTTTTTTTTTTGCTACTTGTTTGTTTGCAGGTCTAAACTTAGTCTTTTTCAATCGAGGATAAGCTTACAGAAAGCCAGTGTTAAGGTGAGTGCAAAAATAAATGGTGTAACGTCCAATTTTAGAGCTGTGTAATGTCTGGCAGTGGAGACACAGTGCAAAAGGGGGATTTGTAGTTTGGGAAACTCTAAGCTGCTTTCTATATATATCACAGGTCGTCCTCGACTTACAACAGTTGACTTTGTGGCTGCTCAGAGTTACAGCAGCACTGGAAAAAAAGGGACTTAGGACCATTTTTCACACTTATGACTTTTGTAGCATCTCGATGATGTGGTCAGAATTCAGGCACTTGGCAACGGACTCATAGTTATGACGGATGCAGCGTCCAGGGATCACGTGATCCCCTATTGTGACCTTTTGACAAGCAAAGTCCATGCGGAAGGGCAGATTCACTTAACGACCGGAATAGAATAGAATTACAGAATAGAATAGAATTATAGAATAGAATAGAATTACAAAATAGAATAGAATTATAGAATAGAATAGAATTACAAAATAGAATAGAATTATAGAATAGAATAGAATTACAAAATAGAATAGAATAGAATTACAAAATAGAATAGAATAGAATAGAATTACAGAATAGAATAGAATTACAGAATGGAATAGAATTACAGAATAGAATTACAAAATAGAATAGAATAGAATAGAATTACAAAATAGAATAGACTTACAGAATAGAATAGAATTACAGAATAGAATAGAATAGAATAGAATAATTGGGAGGCACCTTGTAGGTCATCTAGTCCAACCCCCTACTCAAGAGTTCCATCCCCCTGCCCAATCACCCAAATGTGGTGATTCACTTAACAACTGTGGCAAGAAAGGTCATAAAATGAGGCAAAGCTCACTTAACAAATGTCTCACTCAACAACAGAAATTTTGGGCTCAGTAGTGGTCGTAAGTCGAGGACTACCTGTGCAAAAGGTGTTGTTGTTCTTATTGTTTAAATTCTGAATTGTGAGCCATCCACTTCTTACTCAAATACTGCTTTACAATCCTCAGGTTCCACGCTGCGATAATTTCTCACCCAGTTCTGTTTTTCCTTGTCTAGTTAAAAGCACGCCGGTCTGAGTGTAATTCGAAGGCTACTCATGCAAGAAATGAGTATCTTCTCACGTTAGCAGCTGCCAATGCCCATCAAGACCGCTACTATCAAACGGACTTGGTAAACATTATCAAGGTAAGGATTAATGATTAAAGGCAGATTTAATTGAAGTGCTTCCATTTTTCTCAGGGTTATTCAATTCTCTAACGATGATGTATGGAAACTAATCAAGGAGAGAAGCAACCTAGAGCTAAGGAGAAACTTCCTGACAGTTAGAACAATTAACCAGTGGAACCACCTCCCTCCAGAAGTGGTGAATGCTCCAACACTGGAAGTTTTTAAGAAGATACTGGACAGCCATTTGTCTGAAATAGTCTAGGGTTTCCTGCCTGAGCAGGGGGTTGGACTAGATGACCTCCAAGATCCCTTCCAACTTTGTTATTGACCTGTCATTTTAACCATATTTATATAAATCAGAATTACTGCAAGATCTCATATGTTTCCTCCCTTATAAAGAGAACATTCTGGATCTAAAGTTTAGTGTTCAAAAAAGTTTAAAGGTATTTAACTCTTTTTAAAAAAAATTATTACAGGTAATCCTCGACATACAACCCCAATGGAGCCCAAGATGTTTGTTGCTAAGTGAGACAATGGTTAAGTGAGCTTTGCCCCATTTTACGATCTTTATTGCTGCAGTCGTTAAGCGAATCACTGCAATTGTTAAGTGAGTAACACGGTTGTTAAGTAAATCTGGTTTCCCCATTGACTTTGCTTATCAGAAAGTCACAAAAGAGGGTCACGTGATCCCGGGACGCTGTGACCGTCATAAATATGAGCCAGTTGCCAGGTGTCCAAATTTTGATCACGTGATCACAGGGATGTTCCAGCGGTCATAAGTGTGAAAAACAGTCATTTCACTTTTTTTCAGTGCCAATGTAGCTTTGAATGATCATGAAATGAATGGCTGTAACTCAAGGATGTGGTTTCAGCTAAATATAGATATAATATTGTTAAAAGCCGTAATTTGCATTCCCTAAACACAGAGGATCTGTTTATACCAGAGGTCTTCAAACTTGGCCCTTTGATGACTTGTGGACTTCAACTCCCAGAATTTCTCAGCCAGGCACTCTGGCTGAGGAATTCTGGGAGTTGAAGTCCACACCTCTTAAAATGGCCGAGGGTGAGAAACACCGGTTTAGCTCTTTCTGAGTTAGCATTATTTCCCCCTCACATTATGTCCGGGGTCTTCAAACTTGGCCCGTTTATGACTTGTGGACTCCAATTCCCAGAATTCCTCAGTCAGGCATGCTGGCTGAGGAATTCTGAGAGTTGAAGTCCACACCTCTTAAAGGGGCTGAGGTTGAGAAACACCAGTTTAGCTCTTTCTGAGTTAGCATTATTTCCCCCTCACATTATGTCAAGGCTCTTCAAATTTGGCCCTTTTATGACTTGTGGACTTCAACTCCCAGAATTCCTCAGCCAGCTACATTTCTTGCAGTTAAGTTTGTTGTTTCCTTAACTAACCTGGTTTGTCGGCTAAACCAGACTAGGGAAACATGCTTTAAGTAGATTTGCAGGTGACATTTAATGATTACTTTGTGTTCGCCGTTACGATATGCCTTCATTATAATCCAGATGTTTTTGTCTATCTCAGAAAGCACAAGGAGTTCTACAGTTTCAAATCCATTTACCTTGTATATAACAAATCAAGGTTTAGGTCTGAAAATGTGGTTCTTTTTTCTACATCATTACTTTATGTCTGCAGTGAAGCAATGTGGATGTGATCTGTTGTAGCCTCTGTTAGAGGCAAGGAAAAGGACAGATGCTGGGAGGCTTAAAAAAGGTTTTAAAGTTTTGAAAAAGTTTAAAAACAAATTCGACTGGTACACTAAGTCTTCCTTTTAAGGCTTCCTGTCTCAAAATGGTAGGAAGCTGCATCGCTGGTTTTTCGCAGCAGTGGTCAAAATTAACTTGGCGGCCACCTTTTGAGAAACAGTTCTTCATTTTATTTTTAAAGATTTAAAGAACAAACTAAATCAGTGGTTCTCAACCTATAGTCCACGGACCCCTGGGGACCCGTTACGTTGAAGGCTTGAAGACATGTAATGATTTAAATATTGAATTAAATCTTTGAGGGATCCGGGGCCACAAAAGGTATTTAAAGGGGAGAGGGGTCCGTGGTGAAGAAAAGGTTGAGAACCACTGAACTAAATGACTACATCAAAGAAAAGAAGAAGAAACTGAAAAGAGAGAGAGAGAGAGAGAGAGAGAGGTGTAGGTAGGTGAATTAGATAGGTAAGTGATGGATGGGTGGATGGATGGATGGATGGATGGATGGATGGATGGATGGATGGATGGATGGATGGATGAATGGGTTGTATAGGTAGGTAGGCAGACTGGCATATAATGTATAGGTAGGTAAGTAAGGGTATAGATTGATAGAGGTGTAGATGGGTAGGTAAATGTATAGGTAGGTAGGTAGGTTAGGTAGGTAGGTAGGTAGGTAAAAATATAGATTGATAGAGGTATAGGTAGGTGAATTATGTAGGTAGGTAGGTAGGTAGACAGACAGACAGAAACAAATATGGATGGATAGATAGACAGACAAATATGGACAGACAGACAGACAAATATAGACAGACAGACACAGACAGACAGACAGACAGACAGATAGATAGATAGATAGACAGACAGACTGAAATATGGATGGATAGGTAGGTAGGTAGGTAGGTAGGTAGGTAGATAGATAGATAGATAGATAGATAGATAGATAGATAGATAGATAGATAGATAGATAGTAGACGTGCAGGCAGGTAGGTAGATAGATAGATAGATAGATAGATAGATAGATAGATAGATAGATAGATATTAGGTAGATAGATAGATAGATAGATAGATAGATAGATAGATAGATAGATAGATAGATAGATAGATAGATAATAGACAATAGACGGGCAAGCAGACAGACAGATGAATAGATAGATAAATATGGATGGATGGATAGATAGATAGATAGATAGATAGATAGATAGATAGATAGATAGATAGATAGATAGAGATATAAGATAGACAGACAGACAAATATGGATAGATAAACAAACAGATCCCATTGGCATTGTGCAAATGGTTCTTTTCTAATTTTTTAAAATTACATTTTCTTTGTGAAATGCGACAAACCAAGAAATAGCAGATCAGTGTGTTGCAATTATATATACAAAAAACTATTTCTTATTGACCCCTCTCCCCCCCATAAAACAGGTCGGGCTTCTCGTTCAGAATCCTTAATGTCCTTTTTTTTTTTTCAAAAAAAAAAAAAAACCCTGAAAAATAAGCTTCCCCTAAGACAGGAGTCTCTAGTCCCGATCTGCAGGTTTCGTCTGACTTCAGGGCAGCCTCTCTCGATAGGCACCCGCGGGTTTTGCAGAAGAAGTGTGTTGCGTGGGGTTTTGTGAGTGGCAATGCCAGCCCATCTGGAAAACCCATCGCCGTTTGTTCCCTCCAAAATCCATTGAAGAACTCCAGGGGGAGGGGAGAGAAGTTCAACTGCCTAAAAATAATCAGAGAGGAGCTATTCACGGATCCTTTGTGGAGCCGTGGTGGAACACAGTGAAGCTAAATAATAATTTTGGCCAGTTAATTGCCCATCGGGTTTAGCCGAATGTGAATAAAAGCCGTCCTTCGGCCGGTTGAATTATCTCTAAATAACAATTCAGCTGCCAGAAGGGAAGCCAGAAAGATTTTTTTTACACAAGTTTTAAGGAAGTGTGGAATATAGGTAGACCTCGGCTTATAGCAGTTTATTTAGTGACCAATCAAAGTAACAACGGCACTGAAAAATGTGATCTTTTTCACAGTTAGGACCGTCACTTTTTTCAGTGCCGTTATAACTAAGGAGTACTTGCACAGAATAGAATACGGAATACAGAATAACAGGAGTTGGAAGGGGCCTTGGAGGTCTTGTAGTCCAACCTGCTGCTCAGGGAGGAGAACCTATCCCAGGGGTAGGCAACCTTGGCTCTTTTATGACTCGGGGACTTCAACTCCCAGAATTCCTGAGCCAGTATGGGGGAACTATGGCCCCTTCATGACTCATGGACTTCAACTCCCAGAATTCCTCAGCCAGCATGAGGGAAACTTTGGCCCCTTTATGGCTCAGGGACTTCAACTCCCAGAATTCCTGAGCGAGCATGGGGGAAACTTTGGCCCCTTCATGACTTGTGGACTTCAACTCCTAGAATTCCTGAACCAGCATGGGGGAACTATGGCCCCTTCATGACTCGGGGACTTCAACTCCCAGAATTCCTGAGCCAGCATGAGGGAACTGTGGCCCCTTCGTGACTCGGGGACTTCAACTCCCAGAATTCCTCAGCCAGCATGGGGGAACTATGGCCCCCTTCATGACTCGTGGATTTCAACTCCTAGAATTCGTGAACCAGCATGGGGGAACTATGGCCTCTTTATGACTTGTGGACTTCAACTCCCAGAATTCCTGAGCCAGCATGGGGGAACTTTGGCCCCTTCATGACTCGCGGACTTCAACTCCCAGAATTCCTCAACCAGCATGGGGGAACTATGGCCCCTTCATGACTGGTGGACTTCAACTCCCAGAATTTCTGAGCCAGTATGGCCCCTTCATGACTTGGGGACTTCAACTCCTGAATTCCTGAGCCAGCATGACTCAGCATGGAAACCTCTCCCTTTCCCCTCAGCATGGCTGGCTCAGGAATTCTGGGAGTTGAAGTCCACGAGTCATATAGGGGCCAAGGTTCCCTACCTCTGACCTATACCATTCCAGACAAATGCTTGTCCAGTCTCTTCTTAAAAACTTCCATTGTTGGAGCGTCCACAACTTCTGGAGGCAGATAATTCCACTGGTTAATTGTCCTCACTGTCAGGAAGTTTCTGCTTAATTCCAGGTTGCTTCTCTCCTTGGTCAGCTTCCATCCGTTGCTTCTTCTCCTGCCTCCTGGTGCTTTGGAGAAGAGGTGGATCCCATTTTCTTTGGGGCAGTCCCTCAAATATTAGAAGACTGCTATCATGTCACACTTAGCCCTTCGCTTTGTTAGACTAGACCAGGGGCCTTCAAACTTGGCCCTTTTGTGACTTGTGGACTTCAACTCCCAGAATTCCTCAGA